TCCGGAACCACCAGCAGAAGGCGTCGAGTCAATACTCCCCAGAGGCGAAGGCAGCCTTGACCCAATCGAAAGAATCGGAACCACATCCGGTCGCCCCGTAGTCCGCGGCTGAACGCCTCTCGAAAGATGCATCCTACCCATCTGAAAAAGAGAATAGAGCAGACAAGTTAAAAAAAAAAAGGGGGGGGGGAATGACCTACCTAGGATTTGACCTACCTAAAAATCCTCGCCTACCTAAAAATCCTTGCCTACCTAAAATCGTCTACCGAAAAACTTTGCCTACCTAAAAATCCTCGCCTACCTAAAAATCTCTGCCTACCTGAAAATCTTTGCCTACCTAAAAACAACTACTCGAAAGAATCGGCCTATCCAAAAAATCCACCACTAAAAGCCAAGATAGCTAACTCACAAACAAAGAATAAAGATTGCCGACCTGAGATATATGTCGAGCCATCAGGTAAAAAGCAATGCCGACCTGCCCGAGTTGAGCAATGGCCGATCTGAAATCAGATAACAAGCGCCGACCTACACCACCTCAATAGAATGCCGACCTACAAATAAGAAAGAACAAAGCCAAATCAACTAAGGAGGCCAACCTCAGATGTGAAGAGATAAGCAGCAAAATAAATATAATAAGAGGAGCTGACCTTAAATTAAAGAAAGAAGCGACGACCAGCCCTGAAATTGATAGTGGCCGACCTCTTTAAATAACGGCCGACCTAGACTCTGTAAAACGCCGATCCACACTCTCCTCGAAACAAATTCAACGGCCGAGCAAGAAGAGAAGCCGACCTTGAGAATCAATTCGGTATCTTACCGACCCCGCCGATAAGCAGACCCAACAATGGAGCAAAACAGCGGAAACAAAAGCTCGCCGATAGAACAATATGCCGACCTGAAAACAAGAAAGATCGAAACCACCTAAGCAAAGGAATGCGAGAAGAGTTAAAGAGCAAGCATCGCAGAAAGACAGAAATTGTAGCATCCGTATCCGAGAAAATGCGGACTAATCGTACTGGACAGGAGGTTGTCCGAGGAACGACCGAGCCAAGGGTCGGATATTGGCTGGGAAAGGGAGGTTCGGACTATGGTCGGGTGTGGACCGGTGAAATAGTCGGACATGGGCTGGATAGCCGAGCCGGATGGACCATATCCGAGGGAAATGGGGTCCAGTCCGAGGGAAAAGGGGATTTATCCGAGTGAAGTAGGATATATCCGAGAGTCTGGGAGGTTAGTCCGAGTGTCAGTGGACTGTCTCCGAGGGGGAATAGGAAACCTCCGAGGGAAAAAGAGGATTAGCCGAGGAAGGACAAGTAGTCCGAAGGGAATAGGAAATCCGGATGAAAAAAATGGAAAACACCTCGGATAAGGGCGGTTTATCCGAGTGGGAAGGGATTTGGGCCGTGGGCCAAGTGTTTGGTCGGCTATTTTGGGGTTTATCGAAGGATGGGTCGAGCCGGTACAGGGAATGGCCGAGAGAATCGAATCGGACCGGGATAAAGTTTACTGGAACCAGGAAAACGTCGGATAAGTCCGGGTTACCTAGGGTTTTGCGAGTATTTAAGGGATTTTGAGACTTTTCTCGGGAGAGTTGTGTTTATTCGAGAGCAATAAAGCAAAGAAAGAGAATAGTCGAGAGAAAACCCTAAGAAAAACAGTTTATCCCGAGGATATCCGAGAGAGATCAGGCTATCGCCGAGCAGAACCGACCATCGCCGAGATAAACTGGTAAGCGATCAGATATTCCCCTATGTGTTGAGTTTTCATCGGATAACCTCGAGCTAATAGCCTTGTTGTGTCGGGTTTCTGAGGGAAAACAGAGTTTGGCTCGAAGAAAGGTGAACGGATCAAGAGATAGCCGAGAGGATAAGGATCGGATCGTACCGTGAGCCGAGAGATTCTTAGGGAGATCGGATATCTTTGATTTGGAGCGGTTTTCATCGGGATTTCTTCTTACCAATCTGTTTCTAGCCTTGTCTAAGGTGAGTACGCGACTGTGGTTAGGTCCTAGACCATAGGGTGACTAGGGTTGAAGGTTCTACATGCTTGAGTGATGATTTTCATGTTATGTGTGGTTATGTGTATAAACGGTTAAGTGTTGTGAGATGTTAGGATGTTTACCGAGGCATATATGATGTTTAGCTAACCTCAGGGTAATCCGGATCATGTACTAGCTTAGGAGATGTGGGATTCTCGCTGAAGTAGACATGGGTCTTAAAAAGGGATTGATCTTGGGTGGTTAGGCTAGATCATCAGGGGCCGTTTGATAGTGATGTGTTTATTGTGAATTGATTGTGTGAATGTTGAATCCGAAAGTTTACTGCGTGTTTTGGTACTGACCAGGTGTTACGGGATGACCGTACTCACTAAGTATTTATGAAATACTTATGCCTCTCATTTTGAGTGTGCAGGTACTAAGCAGTAAGGGGGCGAGACCAGGCGGCAGTGATGGATATGGATGGATCGGGGTTGTGTGTTTTATAATTTAAGACTTGTGTTAGGGTCTTATGGCTTTGGTGTTATTCGTTAGGTTGCTAGATGATCGTTGTATTCATTAGCGAACCTTGTGTTTTTATTCATGTGGAACCCCGAATCTTGTTTAGTGCTTTTAAAGATGAATAAATGAGTGTTTTGAGTTATTATATTCCGCTGTGTATTGTTAAAGAATGACTTAGAAAAAAGAAAAAGTTCAAATTATGGCTAAGTATAGAATTGGACTTAGAGGATGTAGTGGGACACAGCCGCGGTACGGTTTACCGGGTTGGGTTACCACAGAAATTATCACCGCGAAAAATTAAAATGCCGACTACCTGAGGACGCCGACCTTCAAGAAAAGCGCCAGCCAATTTCAGCACCGATGAAAGCGCTAATCTCGCCCCCAAAAAAAAACCACCATCAACAACACTCCGCAATCCCTGAGGCTTCCTGACCAACAGAGCTGACGCCTAGGAGTTCAGAGCCGGCCGACCACGCTCTGCAAATCAAGTGCCTACAACCACCAAATCTGGAAAACCATGGGGAGAATCGCCGAAGCACGGGTCATATCCCGCCAATACAACCAAAACCAGGGTAAAATCGAAGAGGGATCAGGTCTTATCTGCAACCAAACCAACCCGCTACATTGCCGACCTTTAAACACGACGATCCCAACAAATCGCAACCCCCGCGACCCATCCAAAAACCTGTGACGGTGGCGAAGCAGAGATGGCAAGCAGAATCGAGACGGGAACAAACCAACCGGTCGCAGGAGTAACGGCAGCCTTCGCAACCGGCAGAGAGGAAGACGAGGATTGAAGCCAAGTGAAAAGCTTACAATCGCGAGACTCACAGAAGAGACAAAAAAATGGAGAAGGGAGAGAGAAAGAAAGAATTATCTTACCCAGTGAACAGTGTCGAATGAGAGAAGAGAGGAAGGAAAAGGGAAGAGAAAGAAGTATTTATAAGCAAGAAAGGAAGGGGAAACACTTGCCTGACCTAGAATGAAGCCGGGACCCGCGTCGGAGATGGCAATTCCGTACAGACTCCGTACGGGACCTACTTTCAGGCCAATTTTGATTAAAACCAGATCAATAATTTTCGAAGAATCCGTTGACTCAAACCGGGAATTTTTCTTCGTCAAACGGACTGGGGGGACTTACTGTTGGTACCAGACCTTGAAAAGGCCTTATTAATCAAATCGGCCCAATGTGTTCTCTAGTCCAAAAAAGAGGAAGAAGCTTCCAGCCCAGATTCAAGAATTAATCAGATGAAGTCAGCTTGACCCAAATATGAAGACAGAGCCCAACAGAACCAGCATGACCCGGGTTCGAAGATAAGGCCCACCAATGCCCATTTCGTCAGAAAGCCTACGAAGCCCAGCAAAGTTACCGCTCTAATTCCCTATAAATAGAACCGTACTCTGTACGAAAAATACATTCATTACTTCAGATTTTACGGAATTAAGTTTTAATCACGCGTTGTAATAGCTTCTCGCTCGGGATTTTAGTTTTTGAAAGTCCTCTTTTCAGTACTTTTGACGAGTCCATTCTGTAATCTTTCGATTCTTGTTATCAATAAAATCGAGAGATAAAAAGGTCTCTCTCTTCTCTCATCTCTATCCTTCAGAGAGAAAGATCTCGTTTCTTTTCTTTACTTTTAATTATGCTTCTCTTTTCTTACCGAGTAGATCGGTTAATAAATCCGACTGGTTCGGCTTTCTTCTCCGACTTTGTTCGGTTTTGTTTTTGTTTTATTTAGTTTTTTCGTTTTCTTGTTCACACCTCTTCTCTTTCTCTTGCTTTTTTCCGGTTTTTCGGACTAGCTTTACTCCGCTTCTTGTTGATTGTCTCTCTTCTTTCACCATATCCTTCATTCTTTCTTTTGGAATTCTTTGCTCCCTTTTGGGTCTATGTTAGGTTTAAAGCAAAGTTTCTCTTCAAAATTAAGAATATGCTTGATTAACTTGTTGAATTAGTTCAGTTTGTTTACTGCTTTTTCAATATAAGTTTTTCGTTGTTCTAATCTTCATGATACACTAGGTGAAATTTCAATCATCTAAGGCGATGATTTCAAAGAGAAGAGTGTTAAGCATGGTTCACGGAGGAAGGAGTTGCTTTGCGATGAATTTTATTGCCGGCGCGTTTACCGGCCTCATCAGAAGATTGACGCCGATGGTGATTTCTCTTATCTTCTCTAAAGGACATGTGTCATGACACATGTTTATTTCAAAGCTTTTGTATATTACTCAACATTTTTGTTGGGCTTTGTAATTTAGAGATGTTTCTCTGAACCATGTACCTGTATGATTGCTCATTTTGGGCTTAATATGAATACAGTTTGCCGAAAAAAAAAAATGCTGGTGTGACTCTGGTTTTTTTCAATAGTAAAGAGGAGGAACAAAAATAAAGTTGAAGAAAAGTATATAAAATTCAATTGTGCTGATCGAACAAGGGACGGTGAAAACTACACCCTACAGTCTAACCAACTGACCTGCAAGAAATTTATTGCTTTGACAAAATATATTTACATATGATTTCAAGTGACTCCACCACCTGAAATTGTTCTACTCCTCTCTCTCCTACCTCTTTCAGTCTTGTAAAAACAAGTTCATCCATTTAGGCAAATTTTTGAGCTAAACAAAACCGGACATCCTCAAAACCCTAAAAGGCTTTCAGATCTCTTAGGGTTTTCAGTTTTCCTTCTCAATTCGTATCTTCCTTGTGATTTATGGACGACTGTTGTTGCCAGCGAAGTAGACGAAGCTGATCCCTTATTCTCGCTGATGGATCCTGACTCGGCGAAAGCTTCTGTTGAGGCGATGCAGGATGACTCAGAATGCAATCATGTTTCGAACGAACCGAATCTCACGGGAACACACGGTGATTCGTCCGTTGGCGACGAAGGAGGAGGAGGAGGAGGCGAAGGAATTGATACGGTTGACACCGCCACTGCGTCAGAGCTCGTGGCTCCGGAGCCGGTCTCGCCGGTTGGTGAAGGAGAAGGCGCGGTTTTGAATTCCGTGGCTGAGATCAGTGATGTTGTTGAAGGAATCTCTCCCGTTGCTGTCGTTTCCTCGGACCTGTCTCCGGCGGTCATGGAGGTAGGTGGGGGAGGAGAAGAAAATGCGGCTTCTGAAGTTCAAGAGATGGATTCCATGGATTCGGTTTGCGGTGTCGCTGCTGCGGTGGAGGTGGCTCCTCGGGAATCGTCTTCGGTGGTTGGTGAAGGAGGAGAAGAGGAAGGCGCGGGTTCAATCGTCAAAGAAGGTGATTCCGTTGCTAATTCGTTAGGGTTAGCTGAAGAAAAGGGTTCGCTTTCTGGAGATAAGCTCGAGGAAAACAAAGAAGTTTCGATGGAAGAAGAACCTCTCTCACATGACATCTCAGTTTCTGAGGTAAACGAAGTTGATTCTCTGAAGGCTGAGGAAAAGAGAGAGGATAACCAACATGTAGGAGCTAGGGCTAATGACGAGAGTAGTCAGGCGATAGAGAGTGAGTTAGGGCAGAACATAGAGTCTGAAAAGGAAGAGGTGGATATGATGGAGGAGGTTACTACAGAGCAGGCTCCCTCCTTGGAAGATATGGTTAAGGACATAGAAATTCCTGATGATAAAGAGGTAGCTAGTGTGGCTGGGTTTACAGAACTTCCGTCTCAGGTGAAAGGGTTAGACGATTCAGTGCTTAACACAGGAAGTGAATTTGCAGAAGAAGAGCCATTCAAAGAGTTGCAAATGGGTGAAGGAGCTAAAGACCTGTCAGATGGAGATGGAGATGCAGAAGAAGACGTTATGGGTAATCAGCTATTAAAGAAAACAGAGGAGGAAGAAAAAGTCGATGCTCTTACAGTGAAGGAAGAAAAAACCGATCCTCTTACAGAGGAGATCCAAGCTAATCCTCAAGAGGTGGGTGATGTGGCTAATGAGGTTTCAGACAGAAATGAGTCCCCAGTGGGTGAATCATCAGCTGGTAAGGAAACTGTTATGGATGATGTCAAAGAAGACGTTGAGAAGGATCAAGAAGCTGGTGAATCAGTGGACATTCATGTACCAGAGGCTGCAGAAGAAGTAGAAACAGATGTTAAGTATGCTGCTGGGGATGAGACGAATGGTGTGGGAGAAGTAGGGCAGACGGTTGATGTGGAAGAAACCAGAGAACTATCTGAAGAACTGGCTAAAGTAGTCGAGACAAAGATTGCTGAAGCGTCTGAAGAAACGAAGACAATGATCAGAGATGAGGATGAGGAGAAAGTTGATGACATGATTGATTTTGTGGAGGATGTGGAAACCCATGGAGACTCCTCGGTAGCTGATATTGAGGAGGGGAGGGAAAATCATGAAGAAGAGGAAATGACAGAGACACAGGATGAGACTATTATGGGTCAAGTAGATGGAACAAAAATTGCTGAAATGTCAGAAGAAACAGAGACAAGGAACGAAGATGAGGGTGTAGAGAAAGATGATGAAGACATGACTGATGTGGTGGAGGATGTGGAAACGCATGGAGACTCCTCAGTAGCTGATATTGAGGAGGGGAGGGAAAATCATGAAGAAGAGGAAATGACAGACCAAACAGAGACACAAGAGGAGAATGTCATGGCTGAGACGGGGGATGAAGAGCCAGAGGAAGCTGAGGAAGAAAATAAGAGTGCTGGAGTAAAGAGGAAGCGGGTGAGAAATACAAAGACAGTGAAAGGGACGGGAAAGAAGAAAGAGGAAGATGTTTGTTTCATGTGCTTTGATGGGGGTGACCTTGTCCTTTGTGACCGCAGGTGAACTTTTCATTTTTTAGTTTCTGTCACTTCACAGCTGGTCTTTCTCCTTCTCTCTTCCGCCCCCTTAAACAAATGATAATTTTTGTTGTTTTTACATGTATGAAACTGTTGGCTTGCAGGGGATGCCCAAAAGCTTACCACCCTTCCTGTGTAGATCGCGATGAGGCTTTCTTCCAATCAAAGGGTAAATGGAACTGTGGTAAGTGTTTTCCTTCTGTTGTTCATTCATTATGTTCCTGCCTAAATGAAATCAGTGAACTATATTTTTCGAAAATATGATAAATTATTTACTAAGCACATATTTTCTTAGTGTAGTTAGTCGTGAATATTGTGTAGCGTAGAAATTTATAGTGTATATAACATTGTTACTTCCTTAGAATCATGACGGCATATGTTTTATTTATCTGATATCCGTATTGGGAAATTTATTGCAATTCTTAGTAATTCAAGCTTCTGCTTTCTTTTTTTGCCTGAGTTCTTGGCTAGCAGTATGTATCCTGAATTCTTTTTATCCTTTACTCTTCTCTGTTTATTGAACCTTTAGTTGAAAGTTATGTTAAAGGCTTTTTCTATTGCTCTGCATCATCTTTGATTTCATTTTGTTCCTTATTAAATCTTACTTTAGTCTCAGGCTGTTGTACAACTGTCCAATGCTACACAGGCAATGGCAACTTTTGGATTTTTTGTGAAATGGATGTGTCTGATTGCTCTCAAGGCTGTGTACAGTCATGAATCTTTGAGATTCGACAAGAATTTGATAACGGTGGCTTTTAGTTGATTCTCTGTTGTTAAATGTAAATACCAAGCAGCAGCAGTGGGATCTGTTGTGTCGTTTACCTAAAAAACTTTGCATTGGTAGTTTTCTTTCCTTGACTATGGGTTGGCATGGTGACATCGTTCAGTTCTATCACACTATAACTCTATACCATTTTAAGTTGGTAAGATAACATTTTGATAGATGGAGAAAGATTAATATTTTCCTCTCTTCTAGGAACCAACTAATGGTTCAGAATTAATTTTGGTACACAGTGATAAACACACGCTCATGAGTAATGAGATGTAAGAGCCCAAAGAACACTGTATAGCTTCTTAGTATACACTGTCCCTCATGTTTTAGAACACATCATATAATTTTTCAAGTTAGCACACTGTTTGAAGGATTATTTCTGGTAGTTTTAGAAAAAAAATGGAATTATTTGCCATTCTGCTTCAGTTATGCTTTAATATTCAGTCTGTGTGCATGGTCATACTTTCCGTTTGTTACCTTTGTCTGTGCAACTATTTACGTATAATGTGAGCTTTCATCTCTGAATGTCTATGTTCCATTTACTTCCTAGTAGAACCTAACATAATGTTGCATTTTCATGAATAGGATGGCACCTGTGTAGCAAATGCGAGAAATCTGCGACCTACTTGTGTTATACATGTATGTTTTCATTATGCAAAGGCTGCGCCAAGGATGCTGTCTTCTTTTGCATAAGAGGTAATAAGGGTTTGTGCGAGACATGCATGGAGACAGTCAAGTTGATAGAAAGAAAGGAGCAGGAAAAGGAGCCGGTATGCCTAACATACTCTTGTAGTTTTTTGCTTATTTAACTTTTCTTCTATTTTTGTAACGCTGATAAACTAATCATGTTCCAGTACCTCATGATCTTACTTTTCCTGTTTCTCTCATCAAACATCTCGTGGGCTAAGAACAAAAAAAATCTGATGATCAGCCTTCTTTCGATTCTGTTTTTTCCTGTACCATTGCTCTATTACACATGCATATGTGCTTTCAACCTGGTTGATGCATGATAAGCTTACATTTCTTTCTTCTTACTTTGTATTGCCACTGATATATTATGATTTTGGTCAGTGTCCGACACTGAATAGTTGATTTCACTTATGCTTTAGATTCCACTTGCTATTTTAATGGACAGTCTTCTTTTTCTGATTTTTCTCCCTTACAGGCGCAGTTAGATTTTGATGACAAGACCAGCTGGGAATATCTCTTTAAGGATTACTGGATTGATTTGAAAACCCAGCTATCATTAAGTCCAGAGGAACTTGATCAGGCAAAGAGCCCACAGAAAGTAAATGAGTCTCATGCTGGTAAACAGGGAACGGCCAGGGAGACTGACGATGTTACCGATGGAGGATCAGATTCAGATAGCTCTCCAAAAAAGCGGAAGACCAGGAGTCGATCAAAGTCTGGTTCTGCTGAGAAAGTCCTGTCACCAGCTAAGAAAAGCTCGTCAGGTGAAACTGTGGAGTGGGCTTCCAAGGAACTTTTGGATGTGGTCGCACACATGAGACGTGGTGACAGATCTTTCGTACCTCACTCGGAAGTACATGTGCTCCTGCTGGATTATATAAAAAGATACAATCTTCGTGATCCCCGTCGTAAAAGTCAGGTTATTTGCGACTCCAGGCTTCAGAATTTGTTCGGAAAATCTCATGTTGGGCACTTTGAGATGTTAAATCTTCTTGAGATCCATTTCCTTAAAAAGGAGCAACAGCAAGCAGATGATATTCAAGGTAGCATTGTTGATACAGAACCTGATAATGTGGATGTTGATGAAGATTTCGACCATCCAGTGAAAAGTGGGAAGGATAAGAAACGTAAAACACGTAAAAAGGGTGTCAGGAAAGGGCGCCAATCTAATCTGGATGATTTCGCTGCTATTGATATTCACAACATTAATTTGATATACTTAAGGCGGAGCTTGGTGGAAGATCTACTCGATGATTCTATAGCATTCGAAGAAAAAGTAGCCAGTGCATTTGTTAGGTTACGGATATCTGGAAATCAAAAGCAAGATTTATATCGACTGGTTCAAGTTGTTGGTATGGTTTGTTTCCATTTTACAGATTATCAAACACTTTTAATTCAAAGGTGGACTAAGACTATTTGGTTTGAAACACAGGCACAAGCAAAGCTCCTGAGCCCTATAAAGTTGGCAAGAAAACAACAGACTTTTTACTTGAGATATTGAACTTGGACAAAACAGAAGTGATATCCATTGACATCATATCAAATCAAGATTTCACTGAGGTGACACACTCCTGCTGATACCCAACATCCATTTCTTGTCATTGAAAATGGGAGAACATGTTCTGATTTTTTGGTCCCTACATAATATTTTCTGTTGTACTTGCATCAGTGACTAGTGAGCAGTATCTGTTCAATAATGTTTTTGTTTAACCTGTACCTCTTATGCAATAATTTCAGGATGAATGCAAGCGTTTAAAGCAGAGCATAAAATGTGGATTAATTAACAGGCTGACAGTGGTATGCTTCATATTATTTGAAGTCTGCATTTGAATGTGTCTAAAATTATGTCGATCATGGTGCTTTTTACTCTTTAGGTATTCTAATGTCAGTTGTTTTTAGGGTGATATACAAGAAAAGGCCATAGCGCTGCAGGAAGTGAGAGTCAAAAACGTAAGTTGTTTTTTTTTTCCTGCTGGCGCTGTTTCCTGTCTCTCACTCTCTTTTTGTTCATTATTATACGTTTTGTGATTAAGCTCTCTAGATTGGGAGCCAGAAATAACTGCATTAATGTGTTTAGGCAATGTGGATGGTTCTAGTTCTATCGTCTCTCTTAGGTTCGGGCGTTTCAGGGTTCCTAATTAGCAAAGCTATCACGATAGTATTTGAGAAATTTGACAATAGTATATACCTATGACTGCTTCAGTTATCAAATTTATTCCTTTATGAATGCAGTTGCTTGAAGCAGAGATCCTACGTTTCAGTCATTTGCGTGATCGTGCTAGTGACATGGGCCGCAGAAAAGAATATCCTTATCTGTTGAATCTTTCAAATTCTTTGTCAAAATAATGATTGCCTATGCTCTTGGAATGCTTCTCTGTGTGTATGTTTTTGTACTTCAGGGAAAGCATATAATTTCTTTTTTTTTTTATTCACTTACATAAGTATTCCTTAACCTATGGTTACGCTGCGAGAATGTGTTGAGAAAGTGCAACTGCTGAAGTCTCCAGAGGAACGGCAGCGCAGGCTAGAAGAAATCCCAGAAATACATGCTGATCCCAAAATGGATCCAGAGTGCGAGTCAGAAGACGAAGATGAAAAAGAAGAAAAAGAAAAAGGTTTTCCTTTAATAAAATCAAGTTTTTATTTTCAATCTGAGTTTTGGTGTATCTATTGTTTGGCGTTATCTTTTCTAACGTTTTCCGATCTTTGGCTGTTTTTGGTGCATGTAGAGAGAAATCTCAGGCCGAGAAGTAGTAGCTTCAACAGAAGAGGAAGAGACCCGATATCTCCACGAAAGGGAGGATATAGTTACAATGATTCATGGACTAGCACAAGTAACTACTCAAACTCAAGTGCAAATCGTGAATTAACCAGAAGTTATTCTGGTAGAGGCTCTACTGGCAGAGGGGATTATTATAGTGGTCCTGAAGACAAGGTTAGTGAAAGTATGTGGACTTCAGGTAGAGAAAGAGAAAGAGAAAGAGAAATACATCAATCTTCAGTCTCTGAGAAGCCAAGATCTATTTCTCTTCCTGAACCTTCTCCCAGAAGTTCTCGTGCTGTTGTGCCACCGGAATTATCTCCTAGGATTGCCCCTGAAATTTCGACGGCGCCTCCTGTTGTCGTTCCGCAGCCTGCTCCTACGTCAAATGATTCTGAGAAAATCTGGCACTACAAGGACCCATCTGGCAAAGTTCAAGGACCTTTCTCCATGGCGCAGCTCCGTAAGTGGAACAACACTGGGTACTTCCCTGCTAAGCTGGAAATCTGGAAAGCTAACGAGTCACCGTTGGACTCTATTCTCCTGACTGATGCATTGGCTGGATTATATCAGAAGCAAACCCAGTCGGTGGATAATAGCTATACGAAAGCTCAGGTAGCAGCTTATTCTGGTCAATCAAGCCAATCTGAACCCAACTTAGGTTCTTCTGCTAGGACGATCGCTCCATCAGTCCTTGATATTCCCAGAAATTCACAGGATACTTGGAGTTCAGGCGGTGGCCTTCCGTCGCCTACTCCGAACCAAATCACGACTCCCACCGCAAAAAGGCGAAATTTTGAGAGCAGATGGTCTCCAACGAAGCCATCTGCACAGTCGATGAGTTTTCCTCCAGCACAAGCTTCAAGGACAGACATCCCTGTGGTTGTAAACTCTGGTGGTGCACTGCATCCTGGAACCCACCCTATTCCAACACCAGCTTTGACCAACGTTTCTGTGAATCACTACGGTTCTGCTGCTCCTCTTCCATCTCCAACACCTGCAGGCGGAAACCAAAGCTGGGGTAACAACATGCAGACGGATAAATTTGATCCCCATGGTCGTGGAGGAGGTGATGCTCTCTCTTCTTCTCAGAATAGCTCTGCGTTGTCTTATGGCACCGCAACACCAAGTGTTGTCCCTGCGCAGACTCAACAAGGCTTTCCATCATCTGATCCATGGAGGGTTCCGGTTCCAAGCCAATCGAATACTCAGGCTACTAACTTACAGTGGGGTATGAACAACAACAGCCAACAACCTCAGACTCAAGTAAACCAGAACAACAGCTGGGGTCAAGCAACTGTGAATCCAAATCCAAACCCAAACCCAAACATGGGATGGACTGCTCCTGTTCAAGCTGGAATGAACGTTAACTGGACCGCATCTACTATTCCTTCGACTGGTCAGGGAATGCCAAATCCTGGCTGGGGCGGGCCCGTCCAAGGACAACCACAAGCTTATCCAAACGCTGGGTGGGGTGTAACAGGGCAAGCTCAAGGGAGTAGTACGGGCTCGGGATGGATGCAATCAGGTCAAGGGATGCAGTCTGGGAACAGTAATCAAAACTGGGGAACTCAAACTCAGACAGCGATCCCAAGCGGGGGGTCCGGAGGGAACCAAGCCGGTTTCTGGGGAAACCAACAACAGAACCAGAACGGAGATTCTGGGTATGGTTGGAACAGACAGTCAAGTGGAAGTGGTGGTGGGCAGAACAACTTCAAAGGGCAGAGAGTATGCAAGTTCTTTCGAGAAAATGGACATTGTAGGAAAGGAGCATCCTGCAATTACCTTCACAATTAAAGCAGCTTCTCTCTTTCTTTCTCTCTCTCTTTCTCTCCCCCTCTCTCTCTTTTTGGATGGTGTTTGCATCTAACAAGCAGCGCTCTTGTAGGCGTTATAGCCATTTGGTTTTTTTATGCACAATAGTCTTTTGTTGGGAGGCTTTTACTCAGAATTAGCTTAACATGTTTTCTTTTCTTTTATGGGGGTTTAGGGCTTAGTAGTATTTAAATGGTTGTAGAGAGTATATTATCTTGCATATAATATTTGCTAGGCCAACTTTATCTGTTTGTATCCTGAAATTCTTTTTAGTAGACTCTTTGGTCGGAGACCATTTATTATAACCCATACATGTTTTCATAAGTTTTAATCGTTTTTTTCATTCATATATTTGGTCCACATCATATTCTGCAGCACAACAAAACATAGCTTCTTTATTTATCTACAACTACAAGTTATTTAAGTATAAATCAGTCAAACAATCGTAGAGGTAGAATCTTTTCTCTAATCAACTCAATCAAAATCATTCTATTTAATGAATACAAACAATCAAGTTTGATCCAATAAAATTTGATGATAAAGTTAAACAACTTGGTGTTCAAAAAAAAGTTAATCAACTTACATTTCTCTCATCAATACAGTTCATAAACAATTGAAACCGAGTACTTTATCGTAACTAGGCGCGCACATATATGATTTTTGAAAAGTAGATTATGTAATCTGCAAAATATAGTATAAAAAATGAGATTTAAAATGTATTTATTTTGATGATTATATGAGTTAATAGATTTATTATATGTGTTATGATAATAGAAAATAATTTTATAAACATACGAGTTTATATGAAAGATATAATATATTGTTGATGTTATATAAAGCTTATGTTCTTATGTTGTAGTAGATTTTTTACAGATTTAAATGCTTAGTTGTAATTTTTTTAACCAAACTGTTATATTTATTAGAAATATTTATCTCTTATGATAAAAGCTTAATTAGTTTTAAGTAAGTATATAATTTATCTATTAATTTATGTTTTTTTCAATAAATCTTTTATTTAATAAATGCGTAAGTTATTCTCTTTCTTTTCATCCTTTGTCTTTTTTTTTTACTTGTTCTTCTTCTTCGTATCCTTTCTTTTTTCTTATCGTCTATTGTTGTTCTTCTTCTTCTCTTTCTTCAACTTTTTTTTTTCTTCTTCTCTTTTTTTCAACTTTTTTTTTTCTTCTTCTTAATCACTTCTTCTTCTCCTTCATTCCTGTGTGAGGTGAAATTCACACAATAGAGTTTAGTTCAAAAAAATAAAAGAGAAACTTGAAGATTCTAAGATAAACACAAAAACGCAGATCCAAAGATGGTGTTTTTGTTATTGCTATTTTGTTAAGAGTGATTTACATTAAAAGGTACTTTAGAGTTTCAATTTACAATCAAATGCATTTTTAGCTATAGGTGGACTTTGGCTTTATTTTTGAAAGTTGAAATTTCTTAATTAGCCTTAATGAAACTGAACCAAATTTTGTTTGTTGGCTGCACTTTCTCTCTTTCCTTCTCTCTTTCTCTCTCCCCTTCTCTCCATCTTATATTATTCTCTCTTTCATTCTCTCCATCTTATCTTTTTCTCTCTTTCTTTCTCTCTATACCCAAAACTCTATTTTGTCCTTAATATTTTTTTTATATTTTCACCCCCTTCTCCTTCCTCTTCTTTTCCTCCTGCTCATCCCCACCTCTCATCCCCTTCTTCTTTTTTCTTTTTTTCTGGGCATCTCCACCTTCACATCCACTTTTATTTTATTACAATCCAGAATTCATACTTCAATTTAATTTTTACTCAAACTATATAAAATCCAAGCCATCTAATCCATTTTATCGTTATATTATCTCTACACATACTCTAATTGTTCTTATACAATTATCTGCCATGGATTTGATACTTTTAGTTTTACAATTGACTAGATTCATTATCCAATCAGAAAAATTCATGAAGTCAATTTCGATGTGGATGAAATTGTGTGGACATAATCTTATGTATAAATATAAAACGCATATTCATTCTATATTTGAACTAACCAATATTAGTGGATGCGGTTTGATGGATACAAATGTGTCTCTTACAATAGAAAATTAATGTTCTTGAATACAAAATATGTGAGAAACAAGTTTTGTATCCATGCAACATTGTCCATGCTACATTGTCCATATAAATATAGATAACTTGTCTATAATAAGCTCTCCACCATCTGCTAAGACTTATGATGAAATCTGAAATTTGATCAATTTCACATCAATAACACTAGAGGGCAAGAACATCAATTCTTATGTTAATTCACGTATTATTGCATACTATGAAGATTTAGTTTGGATTGCTAGATCCGTACATCTGTTATTACACTTTGAACAAAAAGTTTTCATGAATATATTGGCAATGTTCATAACAATTTTTTACAACAAAAGCATAGTGAACAATTTATCATGGATGTAATTGCATGGATAAATTTGTTTGGACAAGAAAAACATCACACCGTCCACTTTAACCCGTCCATTAAACATGTGTTCATTTTTAAATGGATATACATGTTCTCTTACACATTTTGTCGAACACCTTCAAGTTGTTTTTTTGCTCTTTCAATTTGTATAGCTAATTCCTCACACAATCCCAAGTTCTTGTGTTATCTTTGGATTCAAATTCAATTTTCAGAGAGAGAGAGAGAGAGAGAGAGAGAGAGAGAGAGAGAGAGAGAGAGAGAGAGAGAGAGAGAGAGAGAGAGAGAGAGAGAGAGAGAGAGAGAGAGAGAGAGAGAGAGAGAGAGAGAGAGAGAGAGAGAGCACTTTCTATTTCAACAAGTTCTCCATCCTTTGAAGCTAGTTAAACAAATTGTTGAGAGAGAGAGGTTTAATTGCTAAGAAGGAGAGAGTTTGATCCAAATTCATTGAAAATAGATCGGAGACATGGTGGTAGTGGTGGTGGTAGGAGTGGCGGTGGTAGGAGCAAGCAATAAACGATTTTAGAGATTTTGGAAATTTTAGATGGAAATAAACCAAAAAATATTTAAGAAGGAAGATGAAGAAGGAGAGAGGAGTTTGAGAAGTTTAGTTAAAGGGTATAAAAGACTTTCATTTTTAAAAAAATATATCAAAAGTACAAAGTACCTTTGAATATAATTCTAAACTCAAAAAGTACCTTTAAATGTAATAATCTCATTTTGTTAAGCTTTTGATGAAGTGTTTTTCTAGTTTTTTAGCCGTCCTTTTTACAATAGATCATGTCTCCTAATTATACATATTTCTCTACGACCTAAGCGGGAATCTCGGTGAATATATTCATAGATTTTCTTCTATTTCTCTTTTACAGACCCCCTTCCGCAAGGTTAAGTCCTTCTGGAGCGAATCCCCCTTATAGATGTCTTCTTGGACTTATAACTCAGCTCGTATGTTTATTGCTTCATATTAGGCTCCGTTCATCATCGCCTAGGCTCATCAGAGAAATGGCTCAGTTCCCACTTGGTTAATTTTGTTGGTTCGGTTCTTCCGGCCGATTCATCCTGTCTCTTTGGTTTGGCACATCTCTCTGATTTGACAAGTAAATGGTTCGACACATCTTTGCCGACCTCGACTCATCGGTATGGTCTATCCTATAAGTTCGGTCACCTATCTGGTTCGGCGGACATGAATGGTTTGATCCATCTTTATCGACCCGACTCGTTGTTTATGCTCGACGGTTCGTCGGTTTGGCTCGGTGGTTTGCCAGTCTGGCTTATCACCTTTCCTGTTTGGCTAGGCTCATTTCCAAACTTACTCTTTTCTTTGTTGATCTCTTCATGGTGGAAACCAATCCCAACAGTTCTTTCTTCTCCTCCTGTGTCTCCTACTTCTTCTTCTTAATCCCTTTTTCCTCATCTTTTCTTCTTCTCTCCCTTTATTTGTTTTGGTTCTTCTCCTTCTCCTTTTTATCCTTCGTTTTCTTATTCTCCTTTCTTCTTCTCCGTTTTCTTCCTTCTTTCTTTTTTTGGATTACCATGAAGTTTTGGACCGAAATCTGCAATCTCTGCAGGCCCGAAACCACATCATATGATATTAATTTCATCACAAACATCACTCGATCATGTGATGTCTAAGCTTTGCCTAGATCCTTTACCAGCCAAGCTAACGACTCTTGGTTACTCATTTGTCTTCTCCTCCTTCTCCTTCTCCTTTGTTGTTGTTGTTCTTCTTCTTCTTCTATTTTATTCATATTCTCCTTCATCTCTTCTTCTTCTTCTTCTTCTTCTTCTTCTTCTTCTTCTTCTTCTTCTTCTTCTTCTTCTTCTTCTTCTTCTTCTTCTTCTTCTTCTTCTTCTTCTTCTTCTTCTTCTTCTTCTTCTTCTTCTTCTTCTTCTTCTTCTTCTTCTTCTTCTTCTTCTTCTTCTTCTTCTTCTTCTTCTTCTTCTTCTTCTTCTTCTTCTTCTTCTTCTTCTTCTTCTTCTTCTTCTTCTTCTTCTTCTTCTTCTTCTTCTTCTTCTTCTTCTTCTTCTTCTTCTTCTTCTTCTTCTTCTTCTTCTTCTTCTTCTTCTTCTTCTTCTTCTTCTTCTTCTTCTTCTTCTTCTTCTTCTTCTTCTTCTTCTTCTTCTTCTTCTTCTTCTTCTTCTTCTTCTTCTTCTTCTTCTTCTTCTTCTTCTTCTTCTTCTTCTTCTTCTTCTTCTTCTTCTTCTTCTTCTTCTTCTTCTTCTTCTTCTTCTTCTTCTTCTTCTTCTTCTTCTTCTTCTTCTTCTTCTTCTTCTTCTTCTCTTCCTCCTTCATGTCTTCTTCTTCATCCATTCTCCTTCTTCTCCGTTTTCTTTTTCTGTTTTTTTCATCTTCTCTATTGTTGTTCTTCTTTTCTGTGATTCTTCTTCAACACGTCTCCTTCTTCTCCTTTGTTTTTCTTTTTTTCATCCCTTCATATTATCCCTTCTTTTCCTGCCTCTTCTTCATCACTTCTTCTCTTTCTTCTCCTGTTCTTGCATAATAATAAGAATATGATTTTTATTTTTGTAATAATTTTTTTGCAATATGTTTTATATTTTGTAAATATATATTATTTAATTATATATATTTATAGTAATTATAATTGTTATTTTTATACACATATGTGTTTGGCCTATTATATTGTCACATAATAATAAATATATGAAAACAAAATTTATAGTTTTTTTGCAAAATGTTTTATATTGTATAATGTTTTATAATCTAATAACATATATATAGTAATTATAATTGTCATTTTGTTTTATATAAACTTGGATGTAATTAATTTTAAGATTAATTAGAATTTTCAAAATAATTATTTATGGAAACTTTAAAAGTATTTAAATGTGTTTAGTAATTGAAGTTAAACTAATCTAAATAATATTTAAAAACTATTATGTTGGATAATAGATATATAAGAATTAAATAAAGAAAAAAGAAAATAATAATCAATTGTTTATATTAAGACTAAGCTACCATTAATGAATTTTTAGAAAAAACAAAAAAATTAATGGTATTTCATGTAATATAATACATGATTTAGGTTTAAACATTTAAGTTCTTCTTAAATAATAGTATGGATTAACCTATAAAAATCCATATATAAAAGTAGGGAAGCGTATATTCCAAGTATATTTTTTTTGTGAAAACTGAAAAAAATAATTTTTTATGACATGGGTTGTAGAAAAGAATATATATATTTTTTTATCTAAAAGTTGATTTTATTATTTAAATTAGGTTTAGGTCATACAGGTTTAAGGCCTGTTTGGTCAGTCCATCTGCAACATTGTTAAACACTCGATCGATAAACATAAAATCAACGAAATCAAAACAGCTTGCAACGCTGTGATGTCCGTTCCGATTCCATAGATCTCCGTTGACCCAATTTTCGAAGTCAGTGCTTTGATTGCTTAACTTGAATCCGATTCCAGCCTAATTCTTCTGAAGGCCAGTCTCAATGCACCCTCAAATGCTTCGCGAATCGCAAGAGATTCCGCCATTAAAGGTGATCTTACGAGGCTGACTATTGTGGAGTGTTGAGCAATCAGGCTTTCCTGATCCTTGATGAAGACCCATCCTAGTCCTGGAACCTTATTATCACTTTGCCAGACAACATCTGTTCTGCACGAGATGTAAATGCTACTGGTTACTCCATTTCTTTTTAGGGTCTGAGTTGGGGCTTGGATCTTTGTCGATTGAGCTTCGAACCACTTTTGTACCCCGACAATGTCTTTATTAACCACTTCCTCTACTGGGTACACTGTCGCTGAAAATTTTGTTATTTCTTGCTGTCCATAGGTTTCCGATTATCCATGGAGCCAGTGGAGCCGAAGCGGAACTTATCGGAGGAAGGCAGACCAATTGGTGAAGCATTGGCCATGTCGTGTTGAAATCCCAATCTGGGTTTGGTGAGAGCGAGTTACGGATCAGAGCTGTTTCCCACACCTCCTTCGCGAAGGAGCAATGTAGTAGCACATGGGAGATTTTTTCAAGTTCCCCACATCGAATGCCAACCAGATTCATCCGGATTTGTCGCGAAACCAGTCTCTATCCTACTGGCAGAGCCCCTCTTGCAGAGGCATTTTCGCTATCCAAATATCGTGTATCCACTTTATACCATTGGTGAGATGATTTGCTTCCTTAGTTGTCTCCTCTAGGGCTGAGTAGCAGCCCGTTTTAGTACAGTAGATACCGAATGGTGTCTTAAGCCGGATTAGCTTATCCGGTGCTCTTATCTTGCTTGGTCGCAGGGTCAAAATATCACTTGCGTGGACCAGGATGATTTGCTGAACCTTGCTGGCATTCCACTATGTGGAATTTGGTGAAACAGATCGGCTACTCGTAGGTTTGACCATTTTTCAGGGGCCGGTCCCATCGTTGTTTGTTTGTTGGTCAGAGACATCCACGGGTCTTGCCATACTCTAATGGATTTTCCATTTCCTACTGCCCATCCTAGTTATTTGACCATTAAGTCGCGACCTATTAAGATTCCAGTCCATCCATGTAAAGCAGACGATTTTTGGAGCATTCAAGGAAAGGGGTATCTTGACAATATTTTCCAAAGCATATTCTTACCAGCAGGCAATCAGGATTCATAAGAAGTCTCCAGCCCAACTTTGCCAGCATCGCATCGCTGAAACAAGGTATATCCCTAAATCCCAGGCCTTCATCTCCTTTTGTTTGATTCAGCTTATCCCATGTGATCCAAGATATTTTTCTTACATCTTGTTTTGTGTCCCACCAGAATCGTGTTAAAGCAGATTGGAGGACAATATACTTTTCAGGGCATGGAGGATAATACACTTTTCAGCATTGTCATCTTCCCCGCTGGTGACAAAAAGGAGGTGGACCAGCTCGCAGACTTTTTCCTAATTTTGTCCATGATTCCGGTGAAGAGATGACACTTCTTTCTTCCAAAATGTTTAGGGAGCCCGGGGTACTTACCCACTCCTCCCTCTTTATCAATACCTAAATCAAGCTTCATTATTTCTCTTAGTTCGATGGAAGCTTTATGCGAGAACGAAAACTGATTTAGACTTGTTGATGCATTGACCGGAAGCTTTTTCATAGTCGTTCAAAATCTTCTTTAACGCTTGAATGTTCTTTTTACTTGCTTTGCAGAAGAACATGGTGTCATCGGTAAAGAGGAGATGGTTTATATAAGGGAAAAAACGGGCCACAGTATCCCTTTTAGCCTGCCCGTTTGTTGGGCCTGGTGGAATAAACCGGAAAGCACCTCATTGCAGAGTATGAAGATATAGAGAGATAGTGGGTAACCTTGCCTAATTACGCATTGGGGTTTGATGTTTCCATGTGGAGCTCTATTGATTATGTAAAAGTATGTTACCATAGACACACATTGCATTTTCCAATTGGCCCACTTGGCATGGAAACCCAGTCTTTCAAACACTCTTTAATACAATCCCATTCTAACATGTCGTATGCCTTGCCCATGCCAATTTTAACTGCCATCGAGCAATGGACCTTTGCTGTGGATGTTTTCACGAAATAGAACACCTCATGGGTGATGAGGACGTTTTCCGAGATGGCCTAGGCAGGCACAAAGGCTGACTGATTCTCCGAAATGATGACATGTAAGATTGGATGAAGTCTTTTACTGAGAAGCTTTGAAATAATTTTGTAGTAGACGTTACATATGGCAAGAAGTCTGTAGCCTGACACTTTCTTTGGCCCCTGCACTTTAGGGGTTAGCCTTATATGAGCAGCATTTATATCCTTAGGTAGATTTCCTGTTCTGAAGAACCTTTGTACCTATTTACAAAGTAAAATAAACAATGTTACTTGTTGTGTAAAATTCTCAGTCGTTACAAACAAACGAAGAATTCCAGCAACTTCCTTCATCTTTATGAAGAATCTTTTACTTGGCAATCATTTCTGATTTAAATGGAAATATCGTATCCTAAACTTCCCATCCGAAGGGGATCTCTGTAAGTGAGTGTGATTTCAATATCATCCATGCCGAAATCAGCCTTAACAACCTTTAGAAGATCTTCATATGTGAAATCTTCATCAACAACAGAAAATGATCCTCTTTTGTTTATATCTACTTCAAACTCCAAGTGATGATTCTCTCCAAATTTTCACTCACTACAAACAACATATATCCCCACCATATCTCTCTGAATTAGAAAAACAAAAATACAACTAATAATAAGAAGAAAAAATATACTAAAAGAAACAACCAAAAAGAATTATTTGATCTTGAGTCGATGAACAAGAAGATTTAAAACAGCCTTATCTCTGTCTAAAGAAGATAAACATTAGTTCATCATGCTCGTTGTTTCCTAAAAGGTCAATCATTGAGGAATCATAATCTAACACTTATAGCGATGATATACTTTGATGTTAGTTATGAAGACATTCCTAAAACAGATGAAAGTCTTCCTAAAGTAAACATGGACTACGATTCTCTAAGTTATAAAAATGTTGAACAAATTAAATATCAATCATCAAGTAAAGATCGACTACAATTCTCTAATTCGATCATTTCAAACATAACACTGACTATTAAGATGCAAAACAATTTCAAAATCGTTCTTAAGAAGCTTCACAACATCCAAAATTAACGTGTTATAACTCATATTAAAAAGGTAAGAGGAGGAGAGTGCCTATGAATGAAGATGATTGACGAAGACGAAGGTAAGGTATCGAAGATGATTGACGAGAGCGATGTATTGTATATGATTGACGATAGCGATGTATCATATATGATTGACGTCGGCAATGATATATCGGACATGGTTGAATATGACTGGTCGGCGTGAAAATTTGAAAATCCCGATTTGAAATTAGAAACTAGGCAATAACTAGAAGATGAAGATCACTATTTGAAAATTTTAAACTAGGCACCGATGATTTCAAAATCGTCTGCTTTAACTGGTTAACCGTTGTATTTAAGTGAGGGCAATAATGTCAGTTTCTCAATGAAAGATGTTATGGATGTAAAATTTTTAGCTTGTGGTGTAATTAAGAACTAAAACTAGTTTTCATGCTATTGGAAGGACTTACTCTTATATTCTTTTTACTCTGATTTAAACTAACAAAATTAAAAAATAATATTTTAAGAAATTTTAAATTAATCAAAAATAATAATTTTGGATCTAAAATTTTTTCCATGTTTGATTTATATAAAGCATTTTGGTAATTTTGGATAAAAATAAATTTCCAAACTTTTTAAAACGTAGGTTAGTTTACAAAATAAATTAACTTTTTGAATATTAAATTTCATTGCATAAATAGATAAAAAAACTTGTAACAAATCCAAGATTCTTAAACAAAGACAAGTTTGCTATAAACTATTACAATATGTAATTACCTTCTTATTCAAATAAAACTAAAACTCGATCTTAGTTCATTTCTATTCTTTCACTGCCGCCGTCTCATCATCAGATCCATTACTCACAGATGATCTCTTTACATGCAAACTAAAAAAGGAGGCATAAGCATTTAATAAATGCTGAATACAGTATTCCCGTAACACCCAGCCACAATCCAATCAGGCAATCATACTTTGATCCAACCCAATCATTATTCTTTACTAAACAGACACACGGTTTGATCATCTATCCCAAACTATCACACAACCCTTCTTAAGACTCGGACATGCTTACGCGAGACACACCCATCTCCCAAGCTAGTGATCTGATCCGGACTTTCGATCAGCCGGTTAGATATCCATAGAAATAAACAGAACACTGATCTTGCTACGTAACAATCATAAAACACTCAAACAATCAATGAAAATATAGAACCTTGCAATCAAATGATACTATACAGAAACCACAGTCACGCACTCACCTTAAACAATTGGAAAATCAAGTTTAGTCGGAAGTCTCTCGATGAACACTCGATCCAGTCACGCATCTGTCGGATATAGTTGACTTCCTCGACAATCTCTTGGATATAGTCGTATTTGCTTGACTATCTCTCGCATACAGTCGAATTCTCTTGGCTATCGTCAGGTTCTCTCGACTATAACTTCCATAGGGTCCTTTTTCTCTGATTTCTATCGGCTAAAAGATGTGATCTGAGGAGAAATCTACTGTATCCTCCTTTTTATACGACAACACCCTAGATAAACCGCCCTTGTTTGAGTTAGCCGGTTATCTTAGATATAGCCATATCAAATGCGCTAAACCGACTAAAAATCATATTCCTCTTTGGATAAAACATGTCATCTAAGATAAATTTTTCCGCTCAAAACTTAGACGTTTTCTCTCGATCAATTTTTTTTTTCTCAGCTAAAACTCTATTTTTCTCGATGGAACTTATTTCTCACGGAGTCAGTTACCTTCCCAATGGATATTCAGAATTTCTCAACCATTTGTCGTTTCTTCTTGGACATAGTCGTAGGCTTATAGTTTGAGGATCCAATCTGATATTTCTATCCTGGCCAAACCTTCTTGAGTTTTTTTTTCAACCAGACTTGACACTTTGCATATTTTCAGATTTTTTCTTTTACTTTTAAACGCATTCGATTCATCAAGACATTCAATTCCATTGCATAAATAATTTAGAAACACTTATAACAAATATTAGGTTCTTAAACAAAGACAAGTTTGCTATAAGCTATTACATCATTTAACTAGCCTCTTATTCAAATAAAACCAAATCTCAATCCTAGTCCATCCCCTTTCCTTCACAGCCGCCATCTCATCATCAGATCCATCATTCATAGGTGACTTCTTTACCTGCACACTCAAAAAAGAGGCATACGCATTTGATAAATGCTTAGTCAATATAGTCATCCCGTAACCCCCATCCACAATCCAATCACACAATCATGCTATCGATGCAATATAATCATTATTACCTAGCAAAACAGACACACAGTTTGATCATCTACCCCAAACTATCCGACAATCCCTTTTTAAAACTCGGATATGCTTCAACGAGATATACCCATCTCCGAAGCTAGTGATCAAATCCGGATGTCTGATCAGCCTGTTAGATAAACAGAACACTGATCTTGGTAAGAAACAATCATAAAACACTCAAGCAAT